TTTCTAAAGTTGTTGCTTTATGCAATAATGAAATGATTCGTCAAAGAATTATTTATTTCAACTTTTTTTTTGGTTATTTGAACTCCTTCCCTTACGCAAATTATTGATTATCGAATGTATCAACATTTGGAATTTCTTGCGATATTTTTTTACTTATTGTGGGCAGTGCATCTCCAATGTTGTCACATTCATCTAATTTTATAAAATTTCGAAAATAAACTAAGCAAATAATAATAATAAATTATAAATAAAATATAATGAAAACCTATGAAATAAAATTATATTGAATTGGTCCTTATTTTAATCGAATGTAAACAGGATCCAACACCACCTGCTACACAGCTCAAATTCCTAAAACCACAGGAACAAATGAAGCCACACACAATTAAATTGTGTAATAAATGGGCTTAAGGCAGACATCGTGAGATATAAACCCCGAATGTAATAATAGAATGGTAAAATAGTTGTGCTATGATATTAACGTAACTAATAGTAATATATTAAAATCGGAACGTAATGTCTCTACAATGGTTCAAAATTTGAAAAGGATTGGCATGCGGCGTAAAATTGGGCGACAAGTCGCCAAGCACATTTCTTGCTCGTTTCGTCGTTGTGTCCGTTCGTATTTTTGCATATGATTATTTACAATACTTCTATATTCCGTTATTTCTAGAAGTAAACGATAAAGTTGCGATGCGATGTCTCGAACCATGTCAGGCTGAGCCATAAAACACATAAACGTAACAAAAAAATAGAAAAAATAGAGGATGAATTCAGTATGTCATTTATTTAGCTAGAGGATTTTCTGCATCTTTGGGAACCTTCAATTTTCGGTTTAGAGATTAGATTATAGTCGAAGTTATATTAGTTGTATGATAAAATTTTTAATTAACCTCTTTTGTTTCAGGTAAGTATTCCAGGGAAGATTTCTTATCTTGTACCTTATTCTCTAAATGGAAGGGTAAGTTTTAGGTAATGTTTAATAGGGTTGTTAAATATTGATATATTTTTTGTTTTTGTTATATTTAGTGAAGCGGTAAGATTTTTTATCCAAAAATCAAAATCAAAGAAAGATTTAAAAATTATCGTAACCAAACCATCGGGATAGTCACATTCGATTTTTAAGATTGAAAAGCTCCATTTGCAGATATTTTTCTTGTAACGTCATAGATCGCGATCTCGATGAATATCTCCTATAGACATAACGTATGATTTTGAAATAACAGTCATTTTGTCTCATAATTTAATGACGGAACTGTAAAATTTAAAACTAAAAAAAACCAACCAAAACTCTGGACATGTTGTTTTTGCATGGTGGCTACAATATAATTTTAAATTGCTGTGTTCATCGCCATAGCTCCAACCGTTTTCAGACGATAAAAGCCTAATCGAGTAGTTTATAATCCCAAAATTTTGGTGTCCATAATTTGTAACGCCATCAAACATAGTGTAAAAAAGCAAAATTTTAAAATCAAGCAGCTAATCATATTTTCTCCATACATCCATATATGTCCACACCATCACTGCCATTAGGCCAAGGATGCAACGAAAACAAAAACAATATAATAAACGCATGGTTTTTCAACAACAGATTTACTACAAGTGGATTAATAGAATACAGGCGAATACAATAGCGTTGAGATTATTTAAATTCTTTAAAACAATATAGGATAGAACGCTTTATAACTATGTGATGAAAGACGATCCGTATTTGGAAACAACTTACAAAAAAATGCACCTCTTTGGTTGAACTTCGTAAATTAAAATTTACGCTTTCCAGCCAGTTATCTGTACCATTTGTGTTTACTCGTTTTAAGTTCGCGGTTTAATTTGAATTAAAATGTAATACGTATGATATAAACTTTTGTCTTATTTATATTGCAACAATTTGAGAGACATTTTTATGAAGTTCAATTAACAGTTACTATTTGAATACGCGAACGCAGTAGGTGGTGAATAATAAAATCCCTTTTATAACACTGACGTCTGTGCTTCAAAATTGTTCATATTAAATCAATCATTGTTTTTTTTTTGATAAATTATTCCATAAAGGTAATGATATATCGTATTCAGCACAATAATTAATAAATTAATTGTGGACTTGGGAACGGTCAATTGGTTGAAGTTTGGACTTTCATGAAATAATTAGTAACAACTGTGTGTTATAGAAATCTACAAAAAAAGACCTAATCCAAAATGTTTCGTCTTGCGAAGTCAAATTTGTGCCGATTACAGTAGGCAATATTAAAGTTATTACAAGAGTAGGTATGTTGGTTATAAATGTTGATTAGAGATGAGATGTGACACTACCGTGCTAGTTATATAAATATTTATTAAACTTAATAATAAATAGTAGTTATTAGGGTCATAATTTTGGTAGCTTATTCTTGAACTAAAAATAAAAAAGTTCAATGAAAGGGAGAGAAATACGAAAAAGTAACAGGTCCCAAAAAAGAAGACGAACAGGGCACGTCTCTCAGTTTAGTTGTTATTGCAGTGTTTCTCGGTTAATTGATTTTTCGATTTTCCCTAATGCATTAGACGAAATTTTCAGGGCATTCTTAGTTTCCAAGAAATATTTTTCATAAAATGAAGATGTCGTTTTACAAGTGCCTGTGATTAAATTATTGTTCTCAAGTTATTATATAAGATTATCGATACTTAATTTTTTTTATTTTATAGCTAATTAATAAGAATTTAGATTAAGAGTTTAACTTTTTCTTAAACTAAAATCACCTTTTTTCAAATTCTTGTTAATAATTTTATTTACTACGATGAGTAAGAATTTAAATTTTCACGGGTTTTTGTAATCATTAAGTTTAAATTCATTAGGGTTTTAGGCATGTGAAAGTTTATGTTGTTGGGAATTTTTAAACTTATTGGGAAGCAGTCATTTGATAGAATACTTTTTACGCTATTTAGTGTGTAGAATAAACTTTTGTTGTATTGGCTGTAGGTTTTTGATTTATCGAGTAAACTCTGCATGATTTTGGATTTAAATGACACCGTTCGAATTTCTATTTCAAATTGCGGTGCGCCACTTTGTCAACACTTTCGATCGCCCCCTTGAAAGTCTGGTACTGTGGAGATAGTACACTGCCTCTTTCATTAATTCATGTAAAGGTTTTATAAATTTTTGATTTATGATTCTTTGATCAATTGATTAGGAAATAAATTAGGAGTTTCATGCTCTTCTAAGCACTGAGATGATCAGTGTTAAGTCAGGACTCCTGCCAGCGTTCAGAGGCCGAGAACTGGCCCCTCTTTGGATAACTTGGCACCTTTTAAAAATGGAAAAATAGTAAATAAAGATTTGGCTTTTATTATGAAGTCAAGCTTTCGACCATAATTGTAGGCTTCATCAGGACACTAAGAAGTATTTTATTTTTGGAATCACAGAAATAGGTAAATTATACTCACGATAAGGTTGCAAAGTATACTCTAAAAAAATGAAGTACATTCAAAATTGATTTTAAACTAATGCAATAAAAACTGCATCATAAGTTAATGTTCAAACCTAATAATTTAAAAAGACCGACTGGGACTGGGCAAGATAGTAAAAATTAAATACACAAAAAAAAAGATCAAACAAGCGGATTGGATAGGAAAATCAAGAATAGTAATATAGACCCAGTAATTCAAAAAGTTAATTTGTCATCGGGTCATACAGTACCAGAGAAGAAGCGTAAAAGAAGACTTTTTTCCAATGCCAAGAAAATTTGTTAAACAATCCGAGTGTTAAAAGAGGCACCAAAAATACGGAAAAAAGAGAGAACGACACTTCAAAGTTTTGGCAATAAAATTTTCGTGGTATTTATAACTTTTTGTATTATTTTGGTTTAGCAAATAAGTATAAGTATAGATGGAAGTCATTGGTTAATGAAACACATCTCCAAAAACCTCCTTATAAAAGAGTTTTGTTCTCCATCCAATGTGGTTGGGCCATTATAAACGACTTTATTTCCATTATCGTTGGCACGGGAGCTAAGGCTTGTAGAGTATGTCCAATGTCATTTTTATGAGCTGCTATTCAGTTTTGGACAGAAGTAACATTTTAACCCATATTAACCTATGTCTCAGTTTTTCTTGTATTATTTTAAGTGCCCCCCTTATTCTGTGACGAAATTAATAACTTAATAACACTTTTTAGTGTCCTGATGAGCCTATATTCACGGGCGAAATCTGGACTTCATAATAAAAGCCAAATCTAGTGATCCTTGCTCCCTTTTTAAGTTATTGCGTTGTTCTATATTTGATTTATACTTAGCCAAAAAATAAAGTTTCTTTGACCGGATATACGTTTAAATTACTGCAGCACAAAAATGTACCATTTTAAGAAATGCATTAAGAAATGTATTTTACATACACAAGATTGTTACTGTCAAAAGTAGTCGAAATATACCACAGCCACTTAGTTAAACGAAGTATGAACGAATGAACAAAGTACTCTTTAGCAAATGATTTATCCTCAAAAAGTCAAACATGTAAAAAAAAAGAAATAATATAAAACAATGTCTATTACTACCCCTCTTCCTTTAAATAAAACGTATCCCATAAAATCGATATTGACTGCGTTACCTGGAGAGGAACCATTAAAGTTTTGTACCCAATATAAGGCAGTTGTCTTCCGGTCCTTAAATATGGAGGGATTTCTGACGTTTTGCCCATCGAAGCTTATTAAACCAAACAATTAAGATAATTTTTGATAGTCGTACTCCCCTTGTATTAGTGAAATAAATAAAAGATCCCACCAAAATGGTAATGGTACGTTCTGTCATTTAGAAGTAAGTTATTTTCGACTTTTAAAACATATAGAAGCGTCCTAACCAAAATAATGATGATAAATTTCGTCTCTTGGAAGTCATCCTCGACTTTTATAAACAAAAGAAATCGAAGCAGGGTTCAAACAACCCCACCATAATGTGGTCTGCTTCAGGTGGACAACAGAACTCGATATCGCTGTCGAACCGGCGATACGCGGTTTAGTGTACATTCAGAGAACCACGGCGATGTGTACAAGCGAATACGCGAACCCAAGTCTCTTACCGCGATAATTTTCCGATTTGGATATCGATTTTACGTAACAATAGAGTCTTCTTTATCTCCACAAGGCATACATATTTAATAGTGTAGTCCCAGATAGATGTTCAGTTCAGTGTTGTTAATGTGTAACGCGTTACGGATTCGCGAATACAAATAATATTCGGAGTTTGTTCAGGTACGACATGGATATGCATCTGCCGATTGTATATTTCTGGGACGAGCTTTGTTTGGTTTTAAAATTTGGTTCGTGCGGCTGGCCTGTTTCTGTTGCATCTTTCTATTTGTAACACTTAATGGATTTATTTTGTCGGTTGTTTTACATACGAACGCGCATTTTATTTGGACAATTTTAGTTAACCTAATCTTGTGAAGTATACATGATTTTATATTGATCAGAACTGATAATATTTTAGTTTTTTTTAAATATTACAATTTTTTTCACATACATAAATATAATAAGGCGAGGCTCAGTCTTTGAACTAACCTGAAAAATACATCTATAATACATAGGTGTTTAGTCTATTATGAACAAAACTAGATAAATATGAGAGTTTAGAAAAAAAGAGGACACCAATATTTCTAAACATGAGAAGCGACAAAAAGGTGGGATGACGGGGATGACATACATATTCTTTAAATAATCTTATGCGCTTGCTCTTGGATGCATCAATATTATGAACTGATTTAATATCTAGTGGTAATAAATTATAAATGTAAGCAGAGTGATAAGTAAAACTTCCCCTAAAGGAAGAGGTGTTATGATATGGAAGAATAAGAAAACACTGGTCGCATGACCTTTGCTATTATATCATTGCCGGAAGATAATTTCAAGAAAAGGAAAGGTTTTTTTAGCTTGTATTTTTAGATTTTTTGATTTTTTAGTTCTAATTAGAACAAAATTAGTTCAACTTAACCATTTAACATAGACGTGATTCATCAAGCAACTAGATCGGTTTTATGTTAGTAGTAGTAGATTAAACATTTCCTCTCTAACAGTGAAGTCTTCTAGACGGCTTAGCTTCAGTTAGTTACTGGAGGATTGTCATTTTGTACTTGAAATTTTTGCGCGTTTAGAATTCTTTTAACATTGAGGAGTGGCTAACTGCTGCCTAGTGCAGACTTAAGAATTTACTTGAACCAATAATTCTGGACGTCTTCACTAAACGCGAGGATAATTCCTTGTTTTTCTTAAATGCTCATTTTTCCGAAATTCTCTTTCTATCTTTACAATATGAATCAGGATACATCTCGCTGAATAATGAACATCACTTTATGTTCTTGTCCGATCTCCATGGTCAATCATCTTCATTCATTCAATCTTATGTGTTTTATTTTGATGTAATTTTTTGATAAACAAACAGCGCAACGACTAATACTCTCCTTTTGTTAAATATATTTTAAATAACAAGGAATACAATTTTGAACTTTTAAATCAGTGTAATTTAAATTACTAATCGATGGCTCCGATCATATTTCCGAAAAGAAAAACGTTCTCTCGTTTACTGTCCAAGTTCTAGAAACACTCATGGCATATTAGAAGTATATAAGAAATTGATAAAGAGGGGCCTTTAAAAATTGAGTTGCGACGACAGGAGATTGTGATCTCTATTTCTTAAATATTGAGGCATTGCACCATTGACACATCTATTAGAATCACACACCACCTTTATTCTTTAAGATAGAATGTCCTACATATTATTAAATTCTAGATTTTATAAAAAATTCTAAAATTTTGTATGTAAAATACATTGTAGCTCTCTTGTGCTATTTTGGAGATAAAATTAAATAAGTTCTAGTAAAGCCCTCGCTATATATTATGACGATCGAATTAATAGAGTTTTTCAAACAATTTCTTAAGAAAGCATAACATCTTTGATAAATTTCTTAAGAAGTTTTATGTTATTTTGATGTGAAGAATTCATATTCAAACAACGATTTATTAATATATTAAGCAAAATAAGAGCTTCTGTAACATAACAATTGTGGGTTTGTCCAGTTGAACATTTCTTTTTTTGAAAATTTGCTCTCGTCAGTTCAAATAATGCTTTTTAAAACTTTTGGATCCTCTTAAAAAGCTTGTCGCTATTTCTTCTGAACTTCTTTGCATTTATCCGGACAAATTTGTATAGAACACATAGAATTTACTGCATGTTATTGCTAAAATCTTTTTGAATATGCATTCCGCATATCAAAATAATATAAACTAGTAAAATAAATAAAATACCATCTAATTGAGTTGTCAACTACACACTACAAACTATCACAAATTGCATTGCTGTAGTGTTTTACGTTTAACTGCAAAACGATTCAAAATAGGTAAGCCCTTAACAAAATTTAATTATTTATACGCGGCATTACATTTAAAAGCGACAGTATATTGCAACGTTGCAATGTCTGAAAGATCGTTCGGGAGCCATGTATATATAGATGAAAGACACATGTTTTTAACAAAGAAGCTCAATGAAGGGATTGAAGCGAAAAGGTTTATCCACGAAAGAACCCGCCTCTTTAAATAAAAAGTCATCGTGAATTTTATCGTCCGCGGTTTTCGAAGTATGTAGTTCAATTTTTTTTTTATCGCGAACCGTGTCGTTTTCACTGGCCGGTTTTTTGACATTATTAAATGCGATCACGTAGTACGGTTATATCGAAATACATTTATTTGAATGAAATTGTTGCCTCGCCAATCGATTTAAATTAAGTGTATCGCGAATTGACAATGGCTAGCTGTAAACCGAAATTAATTTTCATCGAGTACAGGGCGGGTAAACGACCCGACTTGCCCATCATCTCAAAATCGATTCGAAATTTTAGAAGGCGTTCCGGATATATGTGTGCAGGAAAGGTTGGCCTTTCCGACAGTATTTGAGAGAAAGCCACAGCGATGTGGTCCAAGCAGCGACTACAATTATTCCGCAAAATAAAGAAACTACCGTTTTTAAGAAAGCTATTCGACTAAAATGTCGTAGCTTTTCCGAATGCGTATATATATTGCAACCAACATTCCGCTTCTTGAAATTGCCATTTCTTTTTCTGTGCTTTGTTGACGTAGGTCGGTATGTAAGTTTTTTGGTCAATTTAATTCTTTAAAAAGTTTGGCCAATCTAATTGTTAGAATACTCAACAGTATTTAAACTGCATGGGAAATATTTATATCTGTATTTTTATTTTTATTTCAAAATTTTACTTTCAGTTTCAACTGATTCTATTACCTATGGTATATTATGCAACAAGTGCGGTAAACGGCTAGAATTGTGCCGAGTTGCTGTTTCGGTGAATCGAGTCGACTCGAGTCAGTTTATATGGTACTCGAATCATGACTCGATTCCCTGATTCGAGTCCAGTGCTCGAATTTTATGTTTAGTATTCGAATATGACTCGAGTTCGGGCGGACTAGAGTCTAGTAACTCGAGTCTGGAAATTCTAGTCCAGAGTGTTAAGCATTGACACAATAATAATGGGTAAATCAATATTTTTAATGAAAGATAATTATAAACATTAAATAAAAACAAGGAGCATAGGAATTCTAAGGAGATAATTAGAAAAACATAGAAAATAATTAACAAATTTCTCAACTTAGAGTCTAGATAATATTCTATTAATTTGAGACAGCTTTGAACAATTCTTTTAATACTAGATAGAGTAAGCATTATAATCAATTTTTTATTTAACTTTAGATTAAGTAGGCATACAAACTCGATAGCTTAGAATACAAAGTTTGGTAAGGTATCCACCTAAACTACCTAAACCGAACCCAGAATACAGTACAAAACTAAATGAATATGAAAAAAATAGATATAAGAAAATAAAAGTTATTTGAAATAACTGTTCAGAAACAGTATTTGATCAACCTTCTTGGGTTCCAGTCTATTGCGGCGTTGGTTGCATAAAAGTCCAGTCTTAGAGAAAACTCGTTCCGAAGGAACCGAAGTGGCTGGTATGCATAAATACTTTAAATCAATTTTATAAAGGCCGCTGTTGGTGATTTTGCGAAGTTCCCAAAATGTAAGTGGATTAGCTTTTCTATCCAAATACGGTAGCTCTACGTTTCACCTTGATGATTGCTGATGTTGTGGGGTTTTCCATGCTCGAAAATTCCAATACCTTTTTATCGAGATGCTCCCATAAATTCTCGCCAGTCCCCTCTGAAGTTATCTGCTCGAAATCTGAAGATGAAGTTTTACGTGTTTCGAGACGTGAGGTAGATGACACTAGAGATCTATTAGGTACCTGGAATTGAGCTTGATATTCCTATGTTTCCAACATCATCAACTCGTCAATAACAAATTTTTGAGCAGATTTTATAATCTTGGATCTATGAATGTTGCTTCAGCAACAATTTTATTGATCTCATGACCGCCAAATCTTCAATCGAAAACATCCAGTAATTTTATGTTTAACCTGCTGGCGACTTCGGAATTGGAACTGCAACTTCTTAGTGCCGTTTGTACTCCTCGAATAAGAGGTATGATGCAGGATAACGTTGGATATTGCTCGCCAGATATAATACCCGTCATTTGTTCCACAGGTTTTAAAACACAAAGGCACTCGTGCACCTCGATCCATTCGTCAGCGTTAAGGTTATCCGGACAGCCAGGTAATGAAGAAATTGCAGCAGAAAGAGGTATCTTGACCTTATCCAGACGTTCGAGCATATAATACACTGAATTCCATCTTGTCAGGACATCTTGCTTTAGTTTTAAGGGTTCCAGCTGCATTTGTTCTTGAACCTGTTTTAATTATTATGCAGCATTATTGCTTCTTTTGAAATAGGCTACTATTGCTCGGCACTTTTCAATCAATTGAATTAATAGTTCATTGTTTTTGATGGTATCCTGAACCACCAAGTTCAGCGTATGAGCTACACAACAGTGGTGACGTTTTTGCAGAATATCAATAACAGCTTTTTTTATATTAGCCGCATTGTCAGTTGTGATGCAAATGATTTTGTCCAAAATATTCCATTCGATTTCCAATATATCGTTCATTTCTCGGGATAAATTTTCTGACGTATGGGCATCCTTAACTTCCCTGGTGGATAACGTTAAAGTTTTAGACTTGCCATCATAAATGAAATGAATTGTCAGGGTCATGTAGCTTTTGCTGCTATCGGAGGTCCACAAGTCTGTTGTCAAAGCAATATAATCTGTTACTTTAAGCATCTCTTGCATAGCC